TCTCTTGCCCTGGATCCATATAGACTCACCGTCATCATTGTTGCTTGCCTGCACTCTCAAGGAAGCCGTGGAAACATCTCCTGAATGACAGTCACGTTTTCTTTTTCACATTAGAAATATATTTATCTGTAATAAATGAATGACCTTTAAACAAAAAATAGGCTTTGGAACATGATGGTATAAGCTAAAGCTTCCTCTTGGCAAAGTAAGATTTCTGTCTTTTAAACCCGGTTGTTTCTCTAAAAAGATTTTAATTATGTGTACGATGTATTAAGGTCTAGGATTTTTCTTAAAATTTATTTCTGAAAAACATGTTTTTCTTAAAAAATTTACTTTTTTAAAGATTTTGTTTGATCAGCATAGCCATGATTTGCTTTAATAATTCTTTACCCATTGCTTTATCCAACAATTTATTCAACACACATTTTATGAGGAGACACTGTGTGCCAACACTATTCTATGTACTAAGGATGCAGTAATGATTCATATAGACAAAGTTCCGATTCTCTTGGTAGATTGGACAGACACAATAAGCAAACATTTAAACATGTAATATCTGCAGAAAGTACTGACTTGGCGAGAGGAAAAGAAGAAAAGAGTGGGCAACATATGGAATGGCAGGCATTAGATGACTATTTTAGATAAAGTCGGGGGGGGTTCTCTCTGAGAAAATGGCATTTGAGCAGATACCTGAATAAAAATGGAGCAGCACAACATGCAATTATTTGTCAGGGGGTGGGGCAAGGGTAGGGGGCTTTCCAGGAAAAGAGATCGGTTAAGTGAGAAGGCCCTTGGGAGATAATGAAATAAGCAAAAAACAAAAATGAAAATAAAACAAATCAGGGGCGCCTGGGTGGCTTAGTCAGTTTAGCGTCCGACTTTCGCTTAGGTCATGATCTCGCGGTTTGTGGGTTCGAGCCCCGCGTCGGGCTCTGTGCTGGCTGCCAGCTCAGAGCCTGGAGCCTGTTTCAGAGTCTGTGTCTCCCTCTCTCTCTGACTCTCCCCTGCTCACGCTGTCTCTCTCTCTCTCTCTCTCTCCTAGAAATAAATAAAAATATTAAAAAAATAAAACAAAACAAAAAACAAAACAAAACAAAACAAAAAAAACCTCCCAAAACAAAACAGAACAAAAACATTTCAAGAAGCAGGGTATGATCATATCCATTAAATAGTAATGATTGGTTAATTAGAGAAGCGCTGAAAACTGAGTTCAGGATTTGGCAACATAAAGGTCACTGTTAATGTGATAAAAAAATTTGTTTTTGGAGTGATAGGCCTAAAATGTATGATTGGAATGGGTTCAAGAAAGTATGGGAAGTAGCAAGAGGAGATCATTGGAATAGATAAGTATTTCAGAGGTTAGCTGTAAACAGGTAAGGGAAAACCGTATGTCATAGATGAGGGGGAATTTTAGGTCAAAGTGTATGGGGTTGTTCTGATAATGTCCATCGTTTGATAAATTCCATCTTTTTAAAAAATTGTTATTTTTTTTGAGAGAGAGAGAGAATCTCCACTGACAGTGCAGAGCCAGACATGGGGCTTGAACCCAGGAACCCTGAGATCAAGATCTGAGCCAAAACCAAGAGTTGGACACTTAACCGACTGAGCCACCCAGGCACCCTTCCTTTAGCCTTCCTTTGAGATCCTTGTTCATAATACAATTGGATAACTATATTCATTATTTGTTTAATAAATATTTATGGAGTGCCTCTTATGTGCCAGGCACTACTCTAAGTATTAGGGAAAGTAGTGAATAAAACAGATGAAAAATCCCTGCCCTCATAAAGCTCATCATCTAGTACCGCTTAAGTTGTCTTTTGAATGTTTGAGTTTTCCAACTTGACTTCATAGGACCAAACTCTCCCCAGTCCAATCTACCTGTTTTGCTATTCCCAGGTTAATCCTCTTCACATAGAAAACATATCACATGACTCTCCATTTACAATAATCTACTCAATTTGTGGTTTGAAATTATCTTATAAATAAATCCTTATTTCTCCCTGTGGCATTTGAGTTGCAATTTAGCCCTAAATTGCTTGTTTGAGATCTGCTTACAATTAAGGATTTGCTGGGGCACCTGGGTGGCTCAGTTGGTTAAACATCAGACTTCGGGTCAGGTCATGATCTCACAGTCTGTGAGTTCAAGCTCTGTGTCAGGCTCTGTGCTGACAGTTCAGAGGCTAGAGCCTGCTTCGGATTCAGTGTTTCCCTCTCTGCTCTTCCCCTGCTCACACTGTGTCTCTCTGCCTCTCAAAAATAAACAAACACTAAAAAATTTTTTAAAATACATCATAAAAAAATTAGGGATTTGTACCTGCTCTGGGAAGCCAATCTTTTGATTCTTTTTTACTGCAAAATTGACATTTCGGGACATTAAAATACATGAACTAGTTACACAAATTCACTATACATTCCATTCCTTTTAAATAGTCAAAAGATATTTAGACATTTCAGTCCTGTGTTGGAAGGGGCTTATCCTGTAACCCTGAGCTCTAATTGCTCAGGATGGGGGTAGACACAGAATAATGGTGGAGATGGGAAAGGATAGCCCAACTTTTAGGGGATATGCAGGTCATCTGGTCCAGCACCTAAAAGGGATTTCTGGTCACTTTTTTTTTTTGCTGAAAAATCAGGCAGCTGATTTCCTAAACAATAGGCATGACTTTGTGTATATGTATAAGTTTTTTCTCTAGGGCAGAAACATGGATATTTTCAAGGAAAACAAAGCAGTGACCCTTTGGCATATCTTACCGTATTATATGGAGTCTACGCAGAAAACAGAAGCCCCACTCAAAATGGTTTAACTGAAAAGAATATAATGAAGGGACTATGATAGAGGTGTGGGTATGGTTAAAGGAACTAGTAATGCGGGAAGCCTTTACAACCCTAGGCACTTGAAGAAAATGGTATTATTAGAGACCCAGGAGAGCTGGAGCCATGGAAAAGAGGCTTTGAGAATGGGCATTGTAGTCAGAAGGTTAGGGTATGGCCAAAACTTTGGCCTAGTACAAGGGGGAGGAGAGTGTAATTCATAGGCTGAATTACCCATAGGCTGGTATTTCTCTCTTCCCTTCTTTTGATCTTCTGCCAGTGCTTCCCATTGGTCCGGCTCAACAGGAAGCACAAGCACAGGGAGGTCCTGGTGATGTTTCCATAAATGTCAGCTCCCAAGGCAGAGCATGAAAGAGAAGTAGAGACAATGGATTTGGAGACGGAAACCAAAAATATCTCCTATAAATATTATCTATGACCACAAGAACTAAAAAAAAAAAAAAAAGTAAAAGGCAGGGAACTTAAAAATCACCATAGAACTACCTAATATGACCTCTTTCCTATTCAAACATTTAACTTACTAAGTGTTCTTTCTGCCTAGTACCCAGTTAGCAAAACTTTTCTGGAAAGGATCCAATAATAGTAAATATTTTAGACTTTGAGACCTAAGGGGCAAAATTTAAAGTATTATATTGTTTTTATGTACCCACTTAAAATATAATTATTTAAGGATCTAAAATGCAGTCATTAAAATCCAGTGGGCTGGATTTGGCTTGTGAGGCATAGTTCCCCACCCTCTGGCCTAAAAAGTCTTCTAAATTTTTGCTAGCCTAAATCTGCCTATTTTCCAAATGTTGAGTCCAAATAAAACCTCCATATGGCTTGTCATACTGGGACTCTTTGAATTATGAATGACAGGAGATCAATTTTTATGAGCTTCAGGGAGTAAAATTACTAGCTTAAATTTGGGAGAATGCTGGAGGTGGATCCCAGAATCCAGGAGCTGCCTGAACCCCAGCTACTCCAGGGACCTGGTTTGCTATTGTGGTTATCAGAACATGCCCTCTTTATCTCTTTTATCTTTGCTCTGCCTACAGTTTGGTTTCATTGTTTATTAGGGCAAAGCTTCCCCAGAGGAAACAGAAAGTACCTGTCCCTCTTCCGGCAATAATCCCAGGGAAGTATTCTGCTTGGCCTGTCCTGGTCACACACCCATCCCTAGAAGAACGTGTGTGGGTGGGTGGGGCGGGAAGGGTGGGGGTGGCAGAGATTGCACAGGCTTGGGAGAGGAGCCCACTGCAGAGGAGGGTTTCCCAAAGGGAGGGAGAATTCTGTTCCCTAGAGATACAGATGTCTATTTGGGGGAAATAAGAAAGTCACAATTATAGTCCAATATGTGACATTCCCTAAGAAACATCATGTGTGAAATACACTTCATCACACCCAGTACCTAACATTACATTTGGTAGACATTCATGCGTTTTTGATGAATGAATGACTCAGTACCCCCAGCTGGTTGTGAACGCCCTCTTCTCTAAACTGGCCCAGATATCAGCTGTCTAGTTAGCTGTAGGTTGTATTAGAGGGTTTCCGGCTCCATATGTTATTTTCCCTCTAATCCTGAGAGGCAAAGCATGCCTGCCACAGAGCCAGGCAACAGGAAATCTCAGCCCAGGAACCGGAGCACAGAATGCTGTAGACGCCGGTGACAATACCGATTACGTTCTGGGTGACCCGGGGGGCCCTTTGGTTGAGGCCTTCAGGACACAAAGGCCCCACCGACAGACGCGACCCTCCCGTGGGGAGGGAGGCAAGGCCCGGGGGCGGGGGCACAGCGGGGGCCCCAGCCTCGGGGGCGTCACAAGGCACAAAGGAGACGGCAGGGAGGCGGCCGCGGGCGCCTATCTACGCTCACCAGCCACTAGCAGTTGCGGTTACAGACCTGCAGCTCCCCCTCCCCCTCCCCCTCCCCACCCAGGCCCGTCCGCCCGCCCGCCTTTCTGTCTCCTCCCTCCCTCCGTACTGGACCGCCCGGGTCCGTTTCCGGGCTCCGGAGCCTCGGTGTCGGGCTGGGCCGGGGGCGCGGGAGCAGGTGGCTGCGGCGGGGCGGCTGGGACGCCAGCCTGGGACGCCGGGACCGGCCTCCCGCCGCCTTTGTCGCCGGCCCTTCCGCGGCGGCCGCTCCTCCCCCAGGTCGGCGCGCGCTGCCGGCCGGACTTTGCGCCGCGTCGGGCGCTGCTGCTGCGCGCGGGGCCGCGCTCGGGGCCGGCGGCGGCGGCGGCGGGGACGCGGGCGGCGAGGGGCTGCCGGGACCCCGGCCCAACATGGCTGAGGTCGGCATCGATCAGTCGAAGCTGCCGGGAGTCAAGGAAGGTAGGGGCCGGGGCGCGAGGCGCGTGGGGCCCCTCCGCTCTCCCAGCCCCGCTCTCTCCGGGTGGGGACGTCGTCCTTTGGGTCTCCGCGGCTCTCGCGCGGGCGCCCCCGGGTGCCCCGGCCCTGGTGCCCTGGCCGGGGCCAGAACTGGATTGAGGCTCTACTACGGCACCTGGGGCGAGTCGTGACGTCCTGAGCCCGGCTTCTCCTCTGCGAGGAGATGGGGGCAAAGGGGACAGCACCCCCCTCAGCAAGTGGTTGTGCGAATTGGTGAACGCTCGAGAGCTGGGTCAGTCGGACTTATTTGTGTCCTTAAAAAAACCAAGGCCCAGCCTCGCTGGCGTGAAGGGTAGGAAGTGGGGAGGGGTTGACATTCAGTTCCTTGCGGAGCCTTTGTTTTGAAACTTGACTCTTTCCCTCCTTCTCTCCACTTTTCCTAGGCCGGCGTCTGGCTGGCTGACTTTCCCACCTCCCTCAAGGTTTAAAAGTTTAGTCTGGGCGCTGCCCCGCGCGGGCGGACGGGTGGGAAGGCCCTGTAAGCGTTCTCCTACAAAAAGCAGGGGAAGAGCAGGCATAGGGGACCGACTGGAGACCTTGATTTTTAAAGACCCTTTATACTGATGCCCTGGAAAATTATGGCTGATGGTGGCTGGCCTGGTTTGGCTACCAATAGGTAGCCTTTTGACTTCCCTCCCCTCCTCCTGATCATCCCCTCCTCCAAGACCTAGAATTTCTTGTTGACATTTTGGGTGCTGGATCACCTTAATCTTTCTTTAGTTATCTGTAGCTATTCTTTTGCCCTAGGAAGCATGGAAATCCCAGAGTGTTATCCGGGCTTGCAAAGGTTATCTTTGTTGTGAATGTCATCTCAGCTGAGCCTTGTGGCTTGGGGTGACTTGGGAATGTGGAATTGAAAATAAGAATTTTTGCTTTCTTGGAACTTCGTGTTTCATTGACAACTTGATTCGACTCTGATGGTCTTGTGATTGTCCAGGCCCACCCCCAAAATACTCAGGAAGCTTGGCTGCATTCTTCCCTGGAGTTCCAAACACTGGGAGGTAGTCACTGGTTTTATAAAGAATTTTTAATGAGGCCTAGCCTGTCCTTTTGTTCCTGAAGGGTATTAGAGTTTAGGCCTGGGATCTTTCAACCTTTCAGTGTTCTGCAAGGCTTTGGTGAAGATTCAGGCATTCACATGTAAATGTCACTTTCACTGCACTGTCCACACTGGGGCCTGAGTGATAGGGAAGGCAGACCTATAGTTTGAAAGTCTTAGTCTCTGAGATTGTCTGGTTATCTAGAGTCTTTTGAGGATGAGTTTTGTGGGTGTGTATGTGTATATATGTCTGTGTTGGACGTTTCTTAAGAAAAAGTGACCCTGTGTAGTGTGCAGTGCTTCCTTGGGGATGGGTGATAAGTAGAGTAAGCACTGGAGTTCAAACCCAACTCCACGTAAAGTATTAATCGTACTGTGCTGTGACTTTACCCAGCCCCTTGTATATGTTGGTGACCTGGAACAAAGTTGAAACTCACTTTCTGTATATGCATTTATATGACTCTTAGGTTTTCCAGTTTCTAACCAAGACATGAATGATTTAATACATTCTTTCTCAGGGGGGTTCAACAAACACTTTCCATTTAAAAATGCAAGATGTTTCCATTCTTAACCCCTGGAATTTTAACACATTCGAACTGGCTTTCATTTTGCATAATGTGATGTTTGGCAGTCCAGTTTCATGTGACCCGGTAAAGTGGTAAGGATATTTGGTGTGGCTCCTTGACTAAGTTAGGATTAAATATTGATTGATTTTGAAAGTGGTCAGAAAATGTTGAGAAGATCGTTGACTTTGTAAGCATGTGACTTTTCTGGTTCCAAGATCCTCAAAGGAAATGATGTATTAGGCTAGGAACGTCCTAATGGTGCTGTAGTTTTTTTTCTGGGAAGTGTTAAAGTCTAATGAAATATATTTTTCTCTAATATAACTCTTCATTATGACCCAATAACTCCCTAACAATGTCTTTGAACCCTAATTTAAAGAGAATAAAGCTGGTGCCCATGTTTTGGTAAAACATACATTGAGATGTTCTTAGTACTGAAACTCGCAACTCAGTTTGAAAAAGAAGTTTAGTGGTAAATTGCTTAATGTTCTGGCATAGATTTTTAACCTTTTTTTTTTTTAAACCTGTCTCTTCTGCTTCGTTTCTCAGCCCAAATTCTGGTAGGTTTATGTGCAATTACAATTTGAGGTCATGGGGTAGATTCCAATAATGCAGTGGGTGTCTGTCGCTTCCCACTGCCTTTTCTTTTGGAGGGGTTTGTGACCCTTGTTGTGAACATCTCAGCATGGGTAACAACTGACATCAGGGAACATTTTAGTATTTAACAATTTTCTTTTCTAGATTAAAATCCAATGCTTGCTAAGGTGGTCAGAGATAATCCATCATTTGGACAGACCTTTACAAAATAAAAAAACAAGGCTACAGAAGTCTTTCACCTGGGGATTCTCTTAAATGGGGACAAAGGGACACATTTGAGTTCATATGTGGGAGAAAAGAATTAAGTCTAGCTAAATGTCAACACACATCATTATTTCTGGTTTAAAAGCATATTTGGAACATACACACACTCTTTGTAGTGGAAATACTGTTGCCAGTGTTTAGGAATAGTCCCTTCTTTCTTCTGAAACATTCGAACTTCTGCTTAACAATATTTGAAATAATTCCCAGCCATTGTTTTTTAAATCAGATGTGTGACTCAAATTCATCATGCAATTTGTGGATGTTAGATATAAGTTTGGTCAGGTTCCAACAGTATTCTGTAAGTCTCTTAGGTTAGATCAGAACTGGGGATTTTTTTTTTTTTCTAAAAATAAAAGTTCATCAGTTGACAAACTTTGATTTTTGGTCAATTTTTGGGTCAGTTTTCACTTTGTCGAATTTTCTTTCTGAAACAGCACTTTCTTCTTTGCTCTCTCCACTTTCTTTTTCGCTGTCTCCAGTTAGATTCCCATATCACTACTTAATTGGAGTTACTCACATATCATCATAGTCTTGCCCTTTCTCCCATCTAACAAACTTTTGACACTTAAAATGTTAATCTGAGAGCTAATATTCAAAGCCATTTCTAGGCCCTTTTAAACTTTTACCAACTCCTTTGTAATTTTATAGGCATCAGAGTTTTCCCATTTTTAGCCATTAGCACTCGTACACCAACCTCCCATCAATTCCCAGTGCCAACCTTCTTTTTTCTTCTCTTACAGCAGTAAGAAACGTATGATGTGTTAGGTGTTTGTACTGGTCTTCAGATGGAAATGGAAAGTCCTGCCATCTCCAGAGTGGGTTAACTCTGCGTGTGTGCGCGCACATCTGAAATCAGAGCACCTAGTGACTTACTTCTTGAACTAAAGGTAGCCGCCTATTCTGAGAGAAAATCTCCTTTTGTGAAAGATAAAATTTAATACATTTTCAGAAATATGTCTGGAAAGCACTGATTCATTTTTCATTTTAGGCCCAGGACACCCCAGTAGCATAATGAGGTGAATTAAATTAATGGCACAAATCCAGAGTATTTAAGGAGAAAAACACAAACTTAGGCCTGGGGCATTAAGTTAACCAGGTTTTCCCAGGGACCTAAAGCATATCACATGCACACTAGGCAGTAATATGAAGGCCATGTCTGTGAGATGTTCAGCATATGGCTCCAGGGCAAACTGGTTTTCACTTTTCTTCAAAGTTCTACAGCACATTTTTTTGTTACTGTTTTTTAATGAGACAGTGGCTGGATCTCCTTGAGTTGGGAGGTTTATGTTGTATTTATCTTTCTTTTTCCTCTTCTGGCTTCTGGTCTTTGACATAGCCAGCAAATATTCAGCACATATTAGCAGATGTGAGTGAATGAGTGCATGTATTCTTAAATGCTCCCTGTTGGTTCAGGAATCATATCTCTGGCATAGTAATTCTTTAATATTCCTCCTCAGAGTACTTACAGGGCAGGTACCACGCCTTTTAACCATGAGAATCACAGATTACAGTGTCAGAATTAAATTTATAAAAATGTTTAATCTTTTTATTTAAAAAATTTTTTTAATGTTTATTCATTTTTGAGAGACAGAGACAGTGTGTGAGTGGGGGAGGGGCAGAGAGCAAGGGAGACACAAAACCCAGAGCAGGCTCTAGGCTCTGAGCTGTCAGCAGAGAGCCCATTGTGGGGCTTGAACTCATGGACTGTGAGATCATGACCTGAGCCAAGGTCAGGTGCTTAACTGACTGAGCCACCCAGGTGCCCCTCTTTGTTTCTAACAAACTTTCTTTTTTAAGTTTATTTATTTTGAGAGAGAGAGAGAGATGATGCATACACACAAGCGGGGGAGGTGCAGAGAGGGGGGAGACTGAGAACCCCAAGCAGACTCTTTGGTGTCATCACAGAGCTCAGTGAGGGGCCTGAACTCACCAACTGTGATACTGTGACCTAAGGTGAAATCAGGAGTTGGACCCTTAACCGACTGAGCCACCCAGGCGCCCCTAATCTTTATTTTTCTAATGTTTATTTTCTCATAGGTGCATCTTAAAAACAGAAGTCATCCCAAACAGATAAGTATAACCTAAAAAGTTAAAAAAAAAGAAAAAAAGGAATTCTATGTTCTTTTTTTTATCCTTGGAGATAATCATTATGAAGAATAAAATTTTAGTGAAAACCCCTAACGAACGCTCTTTTGTGGGTTTGATTTTTATTTGAGTAATGGGTTTATTTTTTCCTTAAGCGCAAAGCAACGTCGCACGATTTGGAAGCTGGAAAGAATCTTTGACACGTATTTAAAAAAAATGATTATCTGCTATGTACTACCTATTGTGCAAGGGCATTTTCACAATAAAACATGCCCTGTAGTGCTGGACATGGTTTTCACTGTGGTGAAGAGGCAGTTGTATAGAGTTCAGGGCATTGTGTAACGAACCCTCTAAATGCATACTGCACCCAAAATGCATCTTACATGAAGGGAAAA